AACCCCCCCCCCCCTTTCGTTCGTCCTTCAAAATAAACCGCATTACTCTTGTAGAATAATGTCATGACTTAAAGTGCACTCGGCCTAGAACAAGCGGTGTTGCCGAGCTGATGTCGTTCGCATATTTTTGTCCGCTGATGTCACTCCTCTTTCATAAAATGTGAACAGGTTGAAACCATGACAGCGAAGGACTCGATTCTGGGACCACCACATCGGTTTAAAAAAGCATAAATTGAAGAAGCATAAAGATAGAGATAATTTTTTACAATGTCACTGCCACGGACTTCTCTATTCACGCTGAAGTACCAGATGATACATTATGAACTGTAAGGAACCTTGTTAATCACAGATGGGTGAAAGAATGCTAGTTAACATTGTAGCAGGTGAGGCCTGCATTCATTCAATGATGAGAACTAAAGAGCAAGAACAGTTTGAATGGGACATTTCTCCATCTTCTTCTTTACGTTTTTTCTAATCACGTTATCGGTGACTTCTTCCTAACGCTTTTTTGACGAACGCTTTCACTTGCACTCAACTCCAATGACTACGATTGCAAGGGCAACTCTCCTGATTGACATTTCGCCTTGACTGACCTTCCAGATATACAAGGCGCTCGGTGTGTTGGATGACAAAGTGCAAATGATTAACCACTGTCTTACTCGAATGGCAGTCATTCGTGAAATATATGTAATATGGTTAGTGATATGTGTTGTACAAGGTATTTTTACTGTCAGGATATATTTGCAAATTGGAAAATCGTGGAAACCCAAGTAGCCATCTGTCGAGTATCTATCCCGCTCACAAAGGACCCGAATCATTGAAGGTACAGTTTACTGTAATTTTGAGATATCCTTTTCCAATGGAGAAGCGGAAATATTGGTCGGTAGTAGTGCATTGGTGATGAAGGAAGCGAGAAAATTCGCCGATTTTGCCGAAAATGAGGCACTTCATGTGCAGTGAGTTAGAAATTGTACGAGATTACCATGATGGAAATGATATGGACGGAGTATTTGGACGAGATTTAAGCTGTGGCAGTTGCGCAAAGGGCTGACTGCATCAATCCTGAACTGACTAGAATTGCCTTTCATAGTTGCTATGGATTATAACGAGTTGCTTGAACCTCCTACATGGGTACCCTCGTGAATGGTGCAGACTCTACAATGCCGTTGAAACTCGTCCACGCATACACGTGAGGCAGTCCATTGAGCCTTTATAATGTCCCATCAAGCCCTTTTTTCGACCTGACAGCGCCACATATGGTATGCGAGGGGCTACAAATATATCCCAGCGGGATATCTATGAGCCATTTTTACCGTGAACAGTGCCTCTAAGGAAATTCTGACGAGAGACTCCACTTCTTCGATTGTTCCACCATAGGCTTTAACCATCACCTGTATCACCTGTCGCCCCGTTGATCGTCGGTTTCCTCGAGCGGACGCCAGTAACGCCTCCATTCGTCCCTGTTACGAGCCAGAGTGGTCCAATGAATCGCTCCAGGGACACGAGGATCAACATTCCTTTCGTTCAAAGCTTTCGTGAAGAAGTCTGACCATCTCGTTGACGGCCTTCTTAGAGCTCGTTTGATGTCCCGAGGGATCCAGTCAGTAACCGCCCTGGTCCAACGGTCATCACTATATTGCATAACGTGTCCGGTCCACCTGATCTTCGATTTCTTGGCGTAGTCAACGGCATCCCTGATCTTCGTTCGTTGGCGGAGCTCGGAACTCCGGGTTCCCTTCTGCACTTGCGTGTACAGAGAAATTCCGAGCGTCGTCCTTTCCAAAGCGCGTTGAGCAACGCGGACAGCATGCTCATCCTGCTTTCGTAGAGTCCAAGTCTCTGAAGCGTACGCCAAAGCAGGAAGGACAGCAGTGTCGAAAAGGTGAGCGCGGAGCCGGATGTTCTTTGTCTTCTTCACTACTCCCTCGATATTCTTAAATGCTCTCCACGCGGTGCGTTTCCTTCTGCACATACTTCTTCCAGCTCCAACCATAAATATAATAATATCATTTTTTATGAACCTCGACGTCGTCGAGCCTACCGAACCAGATTGCTCAATGATGGATAGCATAAAATCGACCATACTAGTAGTTGTAGAGCATTACTGACTGTATCTGAGAAAGATCTTAGAAACGTATCGATAAAACCACTCCCGTGCACATACCTGCGCAAAGCCCTATCTGATGCTCAAATCAGTGACGTCCGACACAAAATTAAACAAAAAAGTACCTAAAACTTTTTGGTTCTAAGACCCTATAGCATCGCGCAGTGGTTTTCTATTTGCTTCCATTTTCTTTGCCAACTTAATATTGAGGCGAATGTTCTGTTGTGGGAGACCATCCGCCAAGAATTTAACCTTTTCTCACCTTTAAGGCTTATAGGCTAGTTGAAAACTGGGGAGAAGGTCGTGTTGGAAGGAACAACAACGCTTTCAGGACAAGGACAACAAGAATGGTCTTGATGGAATGGGTTACCTTTTCTGACGCCTGGATCTATGGAAGTAGCCTTGGAAAGTATGACTTAACAATAAGGCGAAAGTACGACCTAACAATAAGGCAATTCCCCAATTCGGTCTCATCCTAATCTGTGGAGGGAGTTTTTCAAAATCCTCGTGACACATTCCTTTAAAAAACGTTCTATATCAACGATCTAAAGTCTCATCTTCCCTTTGTCTGTATGACTAAAGATTTGAGGAGACTCTTTGTCTCCTCGAATCTTTCGTCGTTGGAGCTCGCTCACGTGTCTTCAAGGTAACGTGGACAGGAAAATCACAAGGGCGAAAATGGTAGAGCTGAGAGCACATGCGTATAAATTTGGGAATGGGTTTGCGACAAGCCTCGTTCTCCCGCCATCTGCGACCTCGCTCTCAGTTGGTGTCCAACACCTGCCAAGTCTCGAAGCGAAATGAATGAGCAGGGCCGACTAAAGGCGATCCATCATTGGTTTCTCTCATATCGAAAATGAAAACTGGTTGCACCATTGTATTAATGATCTGGCCCAATCAGGGATGATTCACTCGTTACGTAGGTGATTCTACTACATCGTAGCTTTGCTCTCGTATCACTGTCCCTAGTGCCAACTCATTATCGGAGATCCGTGACACTGCGCTTTCAATGTCCTGCTGCCGAATGGCCCTTCTAGATATTATGTACGATAAGACCTCTTAAAACGACAAGCTAAAACCTTATTTTTTACACTGGCAACTGTAAGTGAGAAGTGATATAGAAAAGCTCAATCACATTCGAGTCTTAAGAGGTAGAACGCCTTATTCAGGAGTAACAACCTTGACTTATCCATAGTATGAAGCCGATCTTGTATCTTGCTTGTATAGGAGATGGTTCTTTGATGCAGTGAATTGATTACAGAGACACCCGCTCATCTGACTGCAGACGGCTTACCAGATGTGTCCGATCAAGCCCTCAGCCTGAAGAATCCCACCCTGATTTAGACTAAAAAGTACTAATTGCACCAATTTCTACCGACTATATGTGCTCGTAAACCAACAAAGCGCAATTGAACGCGTCCTACTATCGATGTATTCTTACCGTAACGCCATGATGATCTTCGGAGACTAGCTTTGATTAGGCTTGCCGCAGAAAGGGCAAATTCTATTCCGCCGATCCGCAAGTTTAAAAAGGGAGCATAGTCAACAAATGAGTTCTCCAGTTAGCATTGCCTAAAGCTGTGTTGAATCAGAAAACGACGAAGGACCTCTCCGTACTTTACCCTAACGTTCGCATACAGTATTCTATCCCTAAGGTAATCTGCATTGCGCCATCACTGCTCTGAAAAGCATGAATCGTTATTTGCTGTAACATGACACACGTTTTACTAATTTTTTTATTGACGAGTTTCGAGGAAAACCGATTGTCAAATCGATTGTCCGAGATTGATGACATTGTGCACAGTTATAATTTAGTATAAATTTACATTGGTCGATGATTTTCACTTTCTTAGTTGTGGGTGAGATATCTCGGCGTTGCACTGAACTTCGCGTACCCTTTGATCACCTGCAATCAAAGAAATGAAATACTCCAAACTTAAAACCATTCCAGAGAAAAAACATGCTTTCAATTATGGATATAGTTATGAACTCAAGCATGCCATCGTATAAGAAATTCTATATACTCCTATCCTATTGAAGGTGAAGTTTTTACTGCAAAGCAGAAGTGACGGCTGACTCCAACCAAGAATGTTTGATAAAATCTGCAGGGCGCTGGTCTTGAATGAACTGATTTTCGCAGGATAAATAATACGGAAACTTCAAATACATTGGTCTAATCAGAGCTTGAGCACGTCGTAACGAGACTTAAGAAAAACCTATCTACACTATACTTTGTATGTTACATGTACGGGCAAACATAGTATGAGTTACTCAGTTACCCCTAGAACTTCCTGTAACCCTCTGAATAGCTTCATACCCTCATAATCCCATTCCCAGAGTACAATTCGTAGTAGTAATCCTGAGGCTTATCGTCCTAGATGTTCGAAGTCAGTCTGTTTTCATATCTTCCAAGGAGTTCCTATAGAAAGTTTCTATGTATGTCATCTAAGCTGTTCAATGCTATCGAAAAGAAACGGTTCTCAACGGGCTCAAGGGCGAGGAGTATAATGGAGGACCGAAAACACCCTGATGGCTTCTAAACCTTTTCCTGATGGCAATACCTTGACGAAACGCAACACCCTTAAGCGCCAGCGTGTTCGAAAAAAAATCCAGCATATCAAGAATTATCATTATTTCCTATATCCTCGAAGCGCGATACAACTTCAAAGTACGATTGCACAAAACCACTTTCCTCAAGCGCTATATAATGCCCCATTCGCGAAGCTGTTATACAGATGCCCACGATAAAATTGGTAGAACTGGTCCAAATGCCCACGATAAAAGTGGTAGAACATGATCTCCCCTGCCCATGAGACGACAATCAAAATGTCCTCGACAAATTCGTTCCCTCATAAACTCTATGATAATTGAAACAGAAATCAAGAAATTCCTGAAGTTAGCTAACACGGTCACTACTGGGCAATTTGCAGTAACAGACGTTCGAAAATGAGAGCAAGACCCAGAAAACGCAAAAAAAGGGAAAAATCAAAACGGATAATGAACAAGGAACAACCTTATTAATTGCCTCTAAAAAGTCCTTTTCTGTCGCTACCTTGCGTCGAGCCCGGATTGCAAACATTCCTGCTTCAGTACATACAGAACGTATTTCCGCACCTGAATTCAACCCAAAAATCGATATGGCAAAAAAAACATGTTGTAAAAAGGAGAAGGAATTTCGTAAACATTGTAGAGAAATAGATATATCCGAAATTTTGGTGTTTGGCACCGTGAAATTGAAATTTGCTACGAATTCATCATCGATGTCGTATTTCATCTAAATTCTTGCTCGATTGGTTCAACAGTTCACCATAGACAAGCCATTGTAATAGCGATCTCACAAAGCTGATCATGACTTGCGACCACAATGGCCAACAAAAATTCAGATCATGTTTGTCAGACTACAATTGTCGATAGTCAACCAGTTATTTGTTCAAAAGTCTATTCTTTGATGGGACATAGAACCCACGATGCCAACGAGCATGAAAATGCGACCAGCACTACCTTCCCACAAAATTTTAGAACCCTTGGTTCATGCTGCGGAAATGACCACACAAACTGCCTTTTTCAGCAGTTAAGGGACTAATTAGGATGCAAAGTTCTCACGCAGGTTACATGTTCTCTCCAATCATCTGCCGCTGTGCAAAAGCACAGCAACGCACATTCCCACCCGAGGTCAGGGCGATTGCGCTATTGACGTTCGAGGGACACAACACTAGGATGGTCGAGACTGCAAGTCAACAAACAGCCGAGCTGTGCGCGCCATATGCTGATGATTCTCAGCCCACTTAACTGATGCGTCTATCAAGAAACATCCCTCCAAGTTAGATTAATTAGCACACAAAGAGGACAAACAGCCTCCGCTCATTTTGGCTGCAGACAACCTAGCCAGTTTATGAACAATCGATTTTTGAAAACTGTCATAGCGGCACAGCGATATTCGAGGATAACAATACAAAGCTTGAGCATTCTAAGTTTTAAGTGAAAGTACCATTCGGAATTTTTCTTTAGCACACTCTGCTCAAGAGAGAAATGATAATCTAACGGCGCATGAGCATAGCTTCCCGATATGGTACCACAGCTCGGCCCTTTCTTCTTACAAAGAGTTCTTTTGCTGACAAGCACGTGCAGGTTGGTAGCCCAACTGGTTAAGGATTAGTCTTTAGCTTTGATCAACCTCGATATGGGACGCGCTTTGCATTCGACTTCCATTCAGAACCATATAGCCTCCTGGATGTGCATTTTGCGAATACAATAAGTTGCGGTAGATAGCCGATTACAAGTCAGTGCTTCCTCTCCCAGATGAGTCTGGCACCAACCAGTATAGCCCAAAGGATGGAAGGCTTGGTTTGCTTAGGCGGATAACGATAAGCTAGGGAATCAATCCTGGACTATGCATGCGTGACCGTGTGCCATTTGCCACATAACACCTCCGCCTATGTCGTCTAAGGTGATGTTAAAATCGAAATTTTGCACACGTACATAAGTGTGTCAGCTATAGAAACTGCACCTCTGCAAATGTTTTCTGAAACACATTTCGGTTCAAGAAACAGAAAGAACAACAATTTCTCTTCTGTATACGAGAGCAGAATTACTTTTCTTTTTGTTGGTAGGGCAATTTGGGAGAGCAAGTTCTCTGCTGTAAATTTAGGGGATGTGAGGCCGCTCTAAAATATTGCACCGTTAAGCGGAACAAACCAATGAATACATGCACCGTATGTCCATGATGTCACAAGACTGATGTGCAACAGCCCACAAGTTTAGTTTAGTACGTCGAGCAGTGAAATATAGACGATGGTATTTACGATGCAAGCTGCTCCGCTCGCCACTTCAAAACAGTATTGGTTGATCGAATCAAGAGACAAAGGAAAACACTGCGATTGCACTCTTAAAAAGGGAAAAGCATCTCGTGCCACGATAAAGTGCTTAAGTGGCACAAAAATGATATCCTAGGTGAAATCGGATCAACAAATATTTCCACCGAGCTGTGAGAGAATTCTCTTCCCGAAACTGGAGAAGCGATAAAGTCTCGAGTGTAGCACAAGCCTTTCATTTCATTCAAGCTGACAGTCTTCCGCATGCCGCAATCAACTGTGGCGTGCGCGTGGCACAAGCGTTCTTGATAGAACTGCTACTATCCCTTCTTCATCAACATCCAACCCAAAAAGTTCAGTGAAAATTGCTGAGCAAATGGGAATTCTTGACCTTTTTTACATATTACCAAATCTGTATTCCAACAAATTCGATATTAGTGCACCAATGATGATAGCCTGCAAGGGGTAAGCACCTTTCATAGCACAGACCCACAGACTCAAGTCTGCAACGTGGCTTGAGCTCACCAAATTCCTTCCGGAAACTTGGAACTGATGCATCACTCGGCTCACATCGAGGATACGTGCAATAACCAAAAAATCATAGGCCTACTGATGGTAAATGTTGGACGCATCCCTTTGATCGCTGCTATTTTAGAGGTGAATTTTACATTACTTTTTTCTATGAATGATATGACTGTCAAAGAGTAAACAATGCGACATGTTTAAATGGCAGCAATCAGCAGTCAACTCACCGGTACTGTTAGGGCATAGTCGAGCAAGCAGATCGTAACGAATATCTCTTTCAACGCTCATCTGTTTGGCATGAATTTTCAAAATGTGAGCTCTTCCAGCCAAATCTGGTAAAGCGAACTCGATCTTGCGATCCAAACGTCCTGGACGAATCAAAGCAGGATCGAGAGTGTCTGGTCTATTTGTTGCCATAAGTACCTGCAAACAAACGTAATCATCTTTCACAATGCTCGCTTCTGAACGCCAGCATATCCAGTACTGTTAAGAGACAATGTACCATGACACACCTTTATATTTCCTCGTGGATCGAAGCCATCGAGTTGATTAATAAGCTCCAGCATTGTACGTTGCACTTCGTTGTCACCTCCTTGGCCATCATCAAAACTGTAAAGAAAAGCTGCGAATCGTTTTCTTTTACCACTCTTTCTAATTCTTTTGGCGAAGGTTGTGTTAACAGAGTCAACCGAGTAAATTGTAGTAGTTACTACAAGGTAGTTTAAGGGCGGTTGTTGACGTTGACGAATTCCGGTTTGAGATACTTCCAAACATTTAATTACGAAATAATACAAAATAAAAGTGGTGTTTTACCGCCTATTTGATCTTACGTAAGGGCTTGCTGATTTCAAAATAGTGCAGCACTCAGACTCTATAGTGAATATAGCACTTTCACTGCGACGACAGCGACTGAGACGAATCAAGGTAGACTAGAGATTTAATTTAGAAACCTATGTGTGGTAACAATGCCATTAGCACCACTACACCTCAATGCCTGATCAAAACCCACATAAACAACGGCCACTGTTGCTTGCTTTGCCGTGCAGCCTTTAACATTTCCACAAAAATGCCAGTATAGAAATGTAGGGATATAAGAAGATGAAGAAAGTTTGGTTCTCAGTAAATGGATGCATCATCACATAAGGATTAGAAGCCAACAATATATGGAACATTACAAAATGCTTACTATGCTCTACTTCACTAATAAACAACATACCGAGCTCCTCCAACTGCGTCAATCTCATCGAAGAAGATTAGGCATGCCTTCTTAGATCTGGCCATTTCGAATAATTCTCTAACCATACGAGCTCCTTCTCCGACATATTTTTGCACCAATTCAGACCCGATCACCCGAATAAAGCACGCATCCGTCCTGCAAAATAATACAGAAAGTACTTCTTTCATTCGTTTTCTTCAAATTGGTACTGGTGCATAGAAGAGCTTGAGAACCAATTTCATTTTGAAATACCATTTTTTGGGCTACCCCAACAAAATACTATTTGAGAAATCATGCGCCTCCTACTCAGCCCACAAAAAACTCAGTGACGTCATTCCTTTTGAAACAATCATAATAAAAAATGATATGAGCCAACCTGTTAGCCACTGCACGGGCACATAGCGTTTTACCAGTTCCTGGAGGACCGTATAGCAAGACTCCTTTGGGTGGTTCAATTCCAAGATTCACGAAGCGCTCTGGCTGTAAAAATTGGTCATTTGGTAATGACCCAAAAGTGCTGTTTGAAAACAGAATGAAGGGTAAACACACATGTAAAAGAGGAGTTTCGACAACTTCTCGGAGCTTCTCAATCTGGTCTTTGCACCCGCCAACATCTGCGTAAGTGACATCGGGCTTCTCCTCTACCTTAATACACGGCAGTGAAGAGCCACCTTGCTACAACAACAAAGCCGGAAAGTAATGACACCGCACCTGCATCATGGTTACTGTTGGGTCGATTTTTGCCGGAAGTGGCAGATGAATTTGGTATTTATTGCGATCCACTCCAACCCTCATGCCCTCCTTAATTGATAACATAATGTTTTATACCAATAGCGGTTCAAAGAAATCAGATAATCAAAGGCAACATTATAGAAAACATACAATGAATCGAAACTGAAGTTAACACAGCTTGTTCAACAGTACCTCGATATCTGTTGGAGCTACTGTATCCGCGAGATCCACAACAAACTTGGCGAACTGTTTGACGTTGATCATGTATCTAGGATCATGACCCTCGCCTGTGATTATTTTCGTGCATCGAGCAACCTACAAAGGAAGAGACTTATCGCCTACATTATACAAAGGGGAGTCACCAACTTGAAGCGGTTGCTCTTGCTGCATCGCCTGCTTATCTGCTGCAATATCCCATAATGCTGGCGGAGCCAGACCGGTGTCGGATTCCTTCACTCCAGAGAGTTCGTTGACCTATAACTACGGATTAAATTTATATTTTGTACAAAATAACATTCAACACATAAGGTGTAAACAAACTACGGTAAGGGGGAAGGGGAATCCAATAACTCACGTCCCTGAAAAAACTCATTATCTTCGATGCAAATTGAACAAACTTTACAGACAGAGACCCCAAAACCGACTCGTTATCCTATCAGCTTCGTGAAGAGCCATATGTTTAAGGAACAGTATGAGTGTAGGGGTTAAGAAAAGTTAGCATGGCGTGCTGATAGTGGAATTTTGTGTGGCAAGAATTCGGGATGAGAGTTCAGGTGAGGCGATTGGAAAAGCTAAACTGAAAGATAAGTGCCATGTTCTCAAAACGGCGCTAGTAAAGTACATGTAAAAAGAATAAAAACACATCGTGGAGAAATCCACAGAATCCCATCAAACAAGGAATCTTGCAAAGCTTTAAGTGATAAATATTGAAACCTAGCGAATGCATAATGTTCATACAAACCTTCTTCACACATTCTTCGATGTCAGTCTCCAGTTGCTTAAGTTGTTCGGCATATGGTCCCTGTCCGTAACGCTTCAATACTGCTATATCACCTTCATCTAGCGCTGAAATATGCGAGATATAAGGCAACTAAGCGAAAATAAAACCGACAATTGAATAAACAGCCATCATTTCCCCCAATATACCTTGGAAAGGCTTGTCATCCTCAGCGTCGATGTCTTTCTTTTGTTTTCGCATATCGGCTCCAAGATGGTCGGGCATTTTTCTGATGGTTTATGAGCGAGAACCAGAAGCAACCAGTCAGGAATGTACAATTACTACAAAATGAAAGAGAATAAGGGAAGAGGTTACACCGAGCAACTGATTTCGCTAATCAGAAAAACACTCAACCCGGTAAAGAATCGGCAGTATGCCCATTCTTCAATAAATTGAGGATTAATAAGCCCAATAATGATGGATAGAACAAAAAACCTTTAGGATGAAAAATGCTCCAATTCAAAGAGAGAAAAGAAAAAAGGAGGAGAAAAAGAGTCCCTCCAACTGGAGCTCCAAAGGTTATTTTAACATGATATAAATAATATCTGATAAGTTTCGTTTCTCAGCAGCTTTTAAGAAACAGCAGCAGGATGACAACTCGAAAATTTGAGACTGTCGCGATTGGTACAGAGAATCTGCGCTAGGGCACACTATCTTTCATTGTGTGTGCTAAAGGTATGTTCGTAATCTAAAGGGCAATGGCTGCCCCTCACAAACAAATCAAACCCTAATTGTATTACATACCTGCACTTTACCAAATTCCAGTGGAAAAACCGACGAAAATTTAGTTGGAAAGGGCCGTTCCGCAGCGCTCTGCTTCCATAGCCCAAAGTGCGAGAGCGCAGGGTATAAGGCAGTGGTTATGAGCAAGCAGTGATCAACAGCAGCTATTTCGAGTCACAAAAATCAGTTCTTCGTCGTGGCCAATTTTAGCGTTTTCAAGTCCCCAGGGAACCGTGAACGAAGTCTTATTAGATATGTCAATAGAATAAATCGATGTAAGCAACACCTTCGGGCGGCCGTTTGGTGGAACAGTGCACGTGTTGAACTCTGAATGCCCCCAAAAATGTATCCACTCGTCCCTTTTGCAGGCCTGGGTGGTTCAGGGAACCATTCCCGCTTGGGGGACAATGGGCATAGCATTCGTTTCGTTCAGAGCTTTCGTGAAGAAGTCTGACCATTTCCCTGGCGGCGATCCTGGTACTGTTTTGACGTGCCGAGGGATTCATTCGGTAACTGCCCCGGTCCAACGGTCATCACTACATCGCATAACGTGTCCGGCCCTCCTGATCTTCGATTTCTTGGCGTAATCAACGGCATCCCTGATCTTCGTTCGGGGACGGAGCTCGGAACTCCGGATTCCCTTCTGCACTTGCGTGTATAGGGAAATTCCGAGCATCGTCCTTTCCAAAGCGCGTTGAGCAACGCTGACAGCATGCTCATCCTGCTTTCGTAGAGTCCAGGTCTCCGAGGCGTACGTCAAAGCAGGAAGGACAGCAGTGTCGAAAAAGTGAGCGCAGTTGTTCTTTGTCTTCTTCACTACTTCACTACTCCTTCAATGTCTGAATGCGTCCTATGCAGCCCGTTTCCTTCTGCTTAGCTCCGTAGCTAGGTCGTTCGTCATATTGACTTCTCGACCTAGATACATGTAGCGAAAGCATTCAAAGATGTTCGTCCCACCCAGCGTGAAAGGACCGTCAGGTACCAATCCGTCTCTCAGGAGCATCGTTTTCGTTTGGTTTAGTTGGAAGCCCATTTTCGTGCAATCTTTGCCAAATTCTGCAAGCATGTTTTGCCTGCTCGATGTTCGGTGTTATAAGCACGATGTCGTCTGCAAAGCGGAGACTATCTAGCCAGCGGAAGNCCACCCAGCGTGAAAGGACCGTCAGGTACCAATCCGTCTCTCAGGAGCATCGTTTTCGTTAGGTTCAGTTGGAAGCCCATTTTCGTGCAATCTTTGCCAAATTCTGCAAGCATGTTTTGCCTGCTCGATGTTCGGTGTTATAAGCACGATGTCGTCTGCAAAGCGGAGACTATCTAGCCAGCGGAAGTCGACCTACACTCCCCAGTATTCTCACTCCAAATAACGCATGATGTTCTCTAGAGCAGCTCTGAATAGTTTCGGCGAAATGTTATCGCACTACCGAACCCCCCTCTTCAAGTTGACAGTTATTTCCCAAAAGAATGGTGAAATCCCGACCGTGAAGCTGTCGTAGAGCTCAAGAAAATTCGTTGTGTATTGTGTAGGAACACAATGGTTGCTTCAATTACCGATTCTGTCTCGATAGTAACATTGGTGTTCTCAATTCGATGAACGTCAGACATAAAGATATCCTGCATCCGAGCACTTCAATGAGTCTTATAGCAGTATGGATGTGATCGATTAAACTCAGTTTTTTCCGGAACCTTGCTTGTTCGCATGGCCGTCCATCTTATATTCTGCCAATCATGTTGAAGATGACATGTGAAAGTTAGTAGATTACAAACAGCAGACAACAGGCAGACTGGCAAAGTCGCCAATATCATCATGATCTTCCTTCTTATCCAGCAGCACAGTCTTGCTAGTTTTCCTTGAAGTGGGCACTTTGTATACACTTATCGCGTGAAGAGCCTAGCCAGGGTGCTGTCGACGATAACAGGGGAGGGCGTTTAGAAGGTTTTGGTTTGATCCTATTAGCCGTACAATTCTCCATCGACGTAGTGACATGTCGATTCTCGGAAAGTGGAGGGGTGACAATTCGTTGCCTAAGATGGGAGGTAGGCAGCGAGGCGTGACTGTCGGAAAGATTCGAGTAGAAGTCTCAGATGAACTTAACGACTGCCCTTCAAGATGCAGTAACTGCTCCTTCAAGACGACATAGAGAAACAATGGCCTCTTTTCCTGTTCCACACATCTCTTATTCTTGTAAATGGCGAAGCTTCAGTAGACTTTGCGTATGCTCTCTCCGGCCTCGGCGGCTTCGTCCATAATTGCTGCCCTTCTCTCTTCCAAATTTTATTTTGTCGCTTCTCCGCATACTTTCACAAGTTCGGAAGTTTGTTGATGATCGCCTACAGCTCGCTCCATGCTGGTGTATCAACTCAAGGGTCTCCGAAGAAACGTGTCATTTGGCTACTTGTAGTCTTTCTCTACTTAACACTTCCATGAAGAGCTTCGACGAGCTGGTTAGCCGGTCTTCATCGATGTTGTGGTAACGGAATCGAAAGAATGCGTAAAAATTAGCAGAATCGTAAAAAGAAGATTTTCAGTTTAAATCTTCCTGGTTTTGAATTTCAGAATTTTTCGCAACTTAAATCGTGTTTGGATGCTTGAGCAGGTGAGCGGCGACCAGAAGCCAACTCATTCAACAAGCAAGATTTCAAATACACCGAATAGAATGTCACGTGATATAAGTTGTACTGTTCCTCGAAACTTTTGACAACAGTACCAGTAACATTTGCTATACCTCTGAACACCATTAATGGCTAAAAATCTGAGGGCCTTTCTTGCCAAAGCGTTCGTGGCCAGTGTACATACGTTAAATAGACATCAGTGAGCCACCTAATAGCACACTATTAGACTTAGAGTAAGCACATATTCTTGGGCCTCAAAAAGCTCGCATACGCTCATGGTACACAAATGTTTCGAAAATTAATGATCTCATTACATCTGCAACGTTGAGGTCATGCGCTGGAAACCACTCTCGAAGTGAGAAGTTTTTCAGATTCGGATTATGGACGGTTCCAGATGCAAAAATTCCACAACTTCTCCCAACTCTTTTCCCTTGAGTCAAGCGGTAGCACGGTCCACTGTTTTTGTAGTTAGTACAGCAATTTCACAACTATGACTGTTTGAACCCTTCTTCAGAAGCTCATGAGTTCATTGAAACCAATATCCGACTCCATGGCCTGGGATTTTAGTATAATACCTGAAAATATCACACATATCTCTTAACTGACTACTATTGGGAATGCATGCACAGAGCGTCTCAGAAATACGGGGCGTTGTCTTCATAGCTTCCAAGCCAAGAATGATAATTGATCTATAGACACCTTTGCCACAATGACATTTCAAAGTATATCCCCATCAACACCGATACAGGGCCAAAGTCTCTTCTCGATCTCCTCGCATGTTGCACAAAAGTATCCCTCCACCATTTCTTCCTAGCCATTCATGGCTCTTGTTTTCCAGGGGTCCAAACTAGGAATGCAAACCACGCAGGTTTCTTCTCATCCGAGACGATACGGAGGGTCGAAGTGCCTAGGATTCGGAGAGCAGGATGGCCATTCCCCTATGCTAATGAGGTCGGGCAGCTGTCAACAGTACCATTCTTGGTTCTGTGGAATGAAATACCGTTTTCCGGCGGAACCACCGACGTCCTACCATTGCCAGAGGCTCTCTCAATAAACATCATTTTGACGAGCTTGCTCTAACCTTTCGCTAGATGTTCGATGATTTCGACGCTAGATGTTCTATCTTAAAGACGATCCCTTTATTTGTAAGAATAGCTTTGCTGCGAGAATTTTCTCGTCAGAGAGAAAGATGAAGGGTTGCGTGTTCACTCGAGTGAATTAGCAACTTTCTACATTTTTTGGAGATACACTTTCTGTTGAGATCGGGGATGAATTGGCATTTCGACATGCGATAGGAATGGCAAAGAAGCTTCTACCCAACAAACAGTCTCATTGACAATTTCGTTAACCCGTGCTTCGTTGCCGTCTTTCACCCGTCACCCGGAATCACAATCGGATCGCACACAGAAGATTTTTTAGTCCTTTCTTTGGAAACACTGGATTTTATACCCCCTCTGGTATTTTGACTGATTCTGATCGTTTAATGGTCTACTTTCCGTTCATTATAAGAATAACAAAAAGCTTTACTCTGCCCTTCCGTCTCTCGCTTGCAATCGATTAATTCCAAGTAGCTTGTAATTAGCCTACCTTATCGATGCGAAGATATTAAAGGCACAGTTCACGATAAATTTGAAGTACCCGTTTTTATACGAGCGGAAGTACAGATTGGGGATAGTTGATCGGTAGTCAAGAAGCGAGAGAATTTGCCGATTTTGAGAAAAATAATGCTCCTCAAAAGTAGGGAAAATAGAGGTTGGACGAGATTGCCAT